GGCTAAAGAGATGTGACAAAATGTAACTAAATATAGGCTGCAGAACTCATAATGTTCTTAAATGTATCTAGCTGTAAGCGATATTAAAAGCTCTAATATCTCCCTATCCTGTCTGGCATTAGAGCAGATAGCGTCCACTTTTGACACCATAAGTAATTAAGACTGAAGACAACTGCTTCTCTATATTAATGAATACAAGAGGTCCAAAGGTCAAAGGCCAAATTCCAAACTTGATCCTTTAGCCTACAGTATCATCAGACACAAAGGAACAACATGCTGTGTTGAAGGTCTGTCTTCTCTTACAACAATTATGCAGCAGCCAGTATGTCCTCCTTCTAATTTTCAATTACGGTCAGGAATGGTTTGTTTTTGTTTTGACAATAGAAGGTAAGCAGTGTTAATGCACCACCTCTCTCTGTTTTGGATGCCCCTCAGTTTGTCAGGTATGACACCAGTTACCACGGCAAACCAACCGGTGTTGCAGCGATGGAAGGGAACAAGCGAACTGGTTCAGATATAAGTGATTCTTTCCAACCAAAAAAAGGCCTCGATATTTTTCTTAAAAGCTCCACGACCAGAAATGCGGTAAAAATCAGAGCTGGCTAAACGCTGAAGCTGTAGTGTCATGGCAACCTGCGTGCACAACGACTCTAGGACGGAGGGGGCGGGGGAGACAGCTCTCGCCAATGTTTTGAATTTGGACTGCAGTACCCATTTTAAACCCTACATGTCAGAGTTACATATTGCTTCTTGGTGAAGTCATGGTGACTTTGTAGTCACAATATTTTGTATTTGATTACAGCTTGGGATCTTTTTTTGTACACCTTCCTTCAGTTGTCTCTACAGGTACATTTTAAAGTTCATATTTATCAATAATTATTGACGGAGTGTAATCATATAAGTTAAAAAATAATTCATAGTTTATAAACAAATAAATTATCCAAACTATCTTTCAACATAGGTTAAAAAATCTCTCAAATTACATGAAGTCTTAAGTTGTAATATTTTACTCCCAGCATCAATTCCTCTCTTAGCCATTTCCAAACATTATTAAAGGACCTTAATGACCCTTTTTATTCTCGGCTGTCATCTGTTTTTTTCACCTCGCTCTGTCATTTTTATGTCTAACATCACAATAAACAATATGATCACTTTTAATATTAAATGTTAAGAGGTAATAAGGCTTTGTTTTGTCTTCTTTTCAGCCTCTTTAGCTCTACCCTCATTTAATGAGCTAACTCCCTTTTCTACTCTCTCCCCTCCCCCCTATAAGTGTCTGGCACACAGTGGTGACACAATCTCTTGGTGGGCGTGTCTCTCTGCCAACCGTTGCCAGTCTAATGGAGGGCCTGCCAGTGACTGAGACTGCCACGGTGCCAATTAGTACGTACGATTACACACCAAAGCATCCTTCTCATTTCCTCTCTTCTCTCTATACTTTACATTGTTTCTTTTCTGTCAAGTTTTTATCCGCATTCTCTGTTTTTCAGGGATAACAGGCTGGTAAAGCATGTCTGTTGGCCTGAGAAAACCCCCTCTATTTGAATCACAGTCAAAACAGTCCTTATCTACAATAACAGCCTTTAAAGAAACTGCAAGCACCATCTGCTTTTTCATTCCTCCCTCCCACTCACTCTCTCTGTGTAACACAGGCCATCTTTTAAAAAACACTCAGGCAGCTTGCTGAGGTAATCATGGCCTCCAGCTTTGCCACTGATAGCAAATGGTTCAATGATTACAAATGTCCGCACGTAATGATGAGTCAGTCAGGGAGATCCAGTGATGACACGCTTTGTAATGTGAGGCAACACTCTACAAAATGGTTGAATAAGGGTCTTTGCCTGTATGACTCAAAATGTGATGTAAAAATTCAGTCAGCTAAGTCAGTGTTTGTGTGCAGTCATGAGAGCTAAATCAACATCTCTTTACCCGATTGGAAACAAAATTGTGATCACCCTGAAGAGTTAAAATAAGGGCGATTGTCCAGATTGTATTCAAAAACAATGAATCAGCATAGTTGGCAAATGTAGGTGTTTATGTTTTTCAAATACCTGCTGCAGACGGAGGGGACAAGAGGCATCCAAGTCCTTAACCAAAGTCGCTCAATGCTATGTACCCCATTGCGTACATAATAGTTTATTTTCTTTTTTTAGTCCACAAATTTCAAGCTTTTTTGATTTTAAAGGAAGAATGTGCGAAATTTTACACATAAACATAGCAGAAATGAAGTAGGCTATAACCTCTGTAAATGTCTCTCTGAATCATTACTGTCTACAATGAGTGACAAGCTCGTTAGAGAAAAGAAGAACAACATAGCCTACTCACTGCTTATTTAAATGTCATGTAAGTGTCTTTAGATCTCAGTCATTCCGTGTCAATTTATGTGACGCTATGAGTCAACCAAAGCGTGCTAACATTAGCCTGCTAACAAAACAATGCAGGACACAGGCAATTGCAGCTCGAGCAAAGGACAATTTTGTCCACCGCTTGAGCTTAATGGTGCTTAACTATGGTGTGTTCTTATTCATATCTCCTTCATGCGAATGTGAGTGGAGGGGGGTTGGAGGCTTCAGAATAGCAGAGGTGTCGTCATACAGCAGTTTGTTTTGGTTTAGTGCTGGTGTTCAAGGGTGACATCTACTGGATCAAAAAGTTACACATTCTTCCTTTAAAGACATGTCTTTTTTCTACTAATAACGTTTGATAGGATGGAGTTTTTCTTGTATGAATCATGGACAGTACGTTGTATTGTTTCATTGTATTTTCATATGACTCAACCTCCTATGAAATTCACTTGACGAGACAATAATGTAAACAGAATTTATTTGAATCCTCTTGATGCTATTTTTGTCAAACCCTTACTAAGGTCTGTTTACACTCACATCCCTTCGTATTTATAATTGTAATCCTTATATTTCCTTTCATTAATACGGATGGGAAATGTGTTACAGTACTTAACAGTTTAGTACAAGAGAAATCAACTGTAGGGACTCATAATAATGTTTGTCTTTCTGCGTCTCCCTCTAAGCTCAACACAATCGTGTTGGATAGATGTTCAACATGAGTCTGATTCTGCTCAAGGTTTCTGCACAGTAAAAGGAGGTTTGTCCTTGCCACAGTTACTTTGTGCTTTGTTAATGTTGTGTCTAAAAAGTACGGTCCTCTGCTCTTTTTGTAAAGTGTCTTGAGATAACATTTATTATGAGTTTGACAAATACATGTATAATTTGATTGAAATACTTATATATTAAAATATGGCTTTTAGGAGAAAAGTCTTCTCCATTTTTTGGTTTTATTTTTGTAAATAACTGTTGAACTGTACTTTTGGCATGTATGTGTGGAACGTTTGGAGGTCTGCAGAGTATTTGTAACACAGTATGTGACCCCTTCTGTCTGCAGAGACCTCCAAATTACTAACTGATAGACAGCACTGGTGACTCATCTAATATTATTAGCAGTTCTCATAATCTTCATTCAATCTCTAATAAGGTTCTGAACCTAGAGTGATTGCCTCTAGGTGAGTGAATTAGTCCATGCTAGTGAATGTGTGTTTGAGAGAGAGAGAGAGAGAGATAGAGGGGAGGGAGGGAGAGGGAGCGAGAACATTTTCATTAATTTATCTTTGCTGTGGCCAGAATGATAATTTAGAGAGGAATCTATCTGCAGCTCACTTCATCATGCTAAATATGAATTAGACCTGGGAGGCTATTTTATCCAGATTGAGCTCATCTCCTTCTTTAAAATCTCAAAATCGGCAGCTAATAGGTTCAACCTATGGTACACTAATGTGCCTATTTCTGTATGTTTTCTTTTTTTTAAAGATGCTGCCTTTTCCACTTCCAAATAATGGTTCAGTAAATGTGTGCAAAAGTATTTGGATACATTTATTTGGGTATTGTAAGTGAAATGTCTACAACCTCACCACAAGCTGACCTTAGTGCAAGAAAAAAAACATCACATTAATAAGTAGTTCTTGTTGTTTACACACAGAGCTCACACAGAGGTAAAGTGTGATTACAGCATCTTTCAGGCATGACACGTCTTGTTCCCTCTTTTCTCTGTACCCTACAGAGATAGGTGAGAATAGAACAATCCTTTAAGACGAGTCTGCCTCACTGTGTTTTAATTAAGCTTCTAATGTTGGTAGTTTAGTAACATATACTGGAGGGTTGAGTGTCCTGTACCACACATAAACTGACAAACAGGCTAGAGCGGGAGTGAGCTGAACGTTACCTGTCCTTAAATTGTTTGCTGAACCCCTCCTTTCCTCATGTCTTCACCTCACAACCTTCTTCTCTCCAGAAGTGGGTGGAGTACTATTAAGAAGCCAGAGCTGGGCTCATCAATAATTGAACAGCCAGAATCATGTAGAATTCTTTAAGAACCCTGTCTGCCACCCTTTGTACTTCACGGCTGTGAACTGATTAATATTTAATGTGTGTGTGTGTGTGTGTGTGTGTGTGTGTGTGTGTGTGTGTGTGTGTGTGTGTTTGTGTATGTGATGGAGAGAGCGGTGTTAAGGTTAATCTGCCTCCTCATCAAGCTCGTCCTTTAAAACCATAAACATTTCCTTTCTGTGCTCTGAAAGTGAGGTATTACCTCTCCTGAGAATGTAACCGCTGTAAAATGCCCTTTAATAAAACTCCACATTTTTCTCCCACGGTACAGACAAACAAGTAAATGTGATGCTAATGATTTCCAATGTTGTGCTTTTATATCCTAAGAAGTGGATTTGATAACTAAAAAAACAAGTTACATGGTAAAACTATTAAGTAAAGGCCAACAAGCTGCAAAGATGTGACAAAGTTTGTCAACCATGAGAAACCAAACCAGCAACAAATATCATGGAGGAATCAAGGATGAGCACAAAAATGTAAATGTAAAAGAAAAAGGAGCTAATCTCACGGAACAAGCATCGTTTTAATTCTTAACACTAATCCTGTTTCATAGATCCAAATCCTCACACAAATACACACGGGCACACACACTGTTTTACTCACCCACTGAGGACCACAATGAAGTCCATGACGTTCCATCCATTCCTGAGGTAGGAGCCTTTATGAAATACGAAGCCCAGAGCGATTATCTTTATTCCAGCCTCTAAACAGAACATACCGATGAAGTAGGGCTCAGTCTTCTCCTGCAAATGCAAAGACAGCGAGTCATAATTAGCCTTCTGAAATGCTGGTGTCATGTCTGGGTTTTTTAGGCTCCTTCAGAGGCAGTTTGTAATTTTTTTATTACAACAAATTGATAGAAGAGCAAAGTGAAGTTATGTGTGCAGATGTTACCAACATTGAATATCTCACCAGCCTTTTGGACATTGGGGTTTTGTCCTCTCCAGGAAGGTGCTGCTCAAGAGCCAGGACGATACAGTTGGCGATGATGGTGGTGAGGATCATGTACTCAAACGGAGTGGAAAACTAAAGTTAAGGATGTTTTGATACACATAAGGTTCAAATGTGTCTGGTTGAGTATGTTGACTTTAAGGCTAGGGCTGGTCATATGCCATATTTTTACCCTTGGAGATCAAAACCAAACAGATGCCAGCCAGTCTTTCAGCATGACCTACTCTGTCAGTGGCTCTCAGCCCAGCCCCATGATGCCCAGGCCTCTAAAAATGACAGTCTTTTTAAACAGGTCATAGTTATACTGATATTTTTCAAAGACTTTCCTTAAAACAGCTAGGGCACTGTATTTTGTAGCAAATATATCTAAGAAATACTGAAGCTTTTGTTAAACACATTTTAGATGATTATGTGAGCAAGTATGTATTTCAAGCAGGGTGATGAGTTAAGAATAAAATGAAGGATGGTATGAAGGAAACAGTTTATTCTAAATGTGGCTCCTTGATGTGCTAAAACAGCTTTTGGATTATGATGGAGGTTTGACACAGAAGAATATATGAGCTGTTGGGCTTGGGATACACGAGCTATACCAGGATGAAAACATTGTTGACTGTAGTAAAATCAGTCAACATAAAATAAGAAGAAGAAGAAGTAGTGAATTTCATAATGATGGTTGTGTATAAAAGTGACTCTTAGAAACATCAAATGAAAGAAAACATACAGAGGCAGAAAAAGCTCTAAACATGTTTCTAGGTCACAGAAGAAAACAAATATGGAGTAGTTTATAAATCAGAACACAAAATTAGTTCAAGAACTGAATGTAGTGAAGGAAATAGCACTTAAAAAATGCCTGTGAAGTATAGATAAAGCACACACATGAACACCACACACACACCTGAGTGCTTCTGGAGGTGAGATGAGGGGCCTGAAACATGACCCTATAAACAGGGTCACTCTCACTACAAGCTTCACTGCCTGTTCTCTGGACTTCTATTGGTTTTTAGTTCAACTCGAGCTACTCTGGGGGTTGAACTAAGCCATCAGTGTGCTCTGTATCTAATACTCTGCGTGGGCTGTCCCCTTTCTCCTGGTTATGTGGAGAAGATGTAGGAAGCAAGGGAGCTGAAATCTGCAGAGTCGAGACAGGGAGGAAGGAGGCAGAGATAACGGAGGAAGAATAACACAGGAGAAAGTGATAGGGAGGATGAAGAAGAAGAGGATGGTTATATACAGGGCTAGCAGAGTTGGTAGGTGAGGAGGAGGCAATGAGACCATATAAGATTGACAGCGGACAGATCGATGAGGCACTGGCAGATGCACCCAGCAGGGTTAGTCAGGAACATGTGGTCCTGCTGAGCTGAGTTTGTGGGTGATAGCCCTCATGTGTGACTGAGGGGAACATCTCTGATTTTAACGTCTAGAAAAGACATTTAGCCTATAGTATACCTGGCAGCAAATGGTAATATGATGCTGCAATGAAATTAATGTATTGCATTGAATTTGAAGTGCAAGAGCCAGCAACGTCTTTTGTTCACTTTAGGCAAAATAGACATTCATGGGCTAAAGCTTACACTGGCTTCAAATTGAGATCAAATAAAGAACTGGCATGGTAAAATGCAAAAGGATCGGAGTATTTAATGTCAAGGAAGCTCTGACTCGGGGAACATCTGTCAACAAAAGACAAAGAAACTCGCAACAGGTTGTGGCCCCACATTAAGGCAGCACCGAAAAGAAGGAAAGAAGGCCTTCTTCGTTATTACTTTTCAAAGTAATAATCGATGGAAAAGAGCTGCGATCTGAAAGGTGACAGCCGAAAAAGCACGGCCTGTTGAACACTGAACACGAAGATGCTGTCAACGTGTAGCTAAGGTGCTAAAATTTTTGTTTCTGTCTATTTTGTGTTAATAGTGTAACATTGTTGTTGTCACTATTCTCAATTATTGCTAGGGGTATCAGAGTTGTGTTAAAAAAAAAAAAGCCTTTCTTTGTTTTGTAAGAAATGTAAGGCTTGTTTGTGACACATCGATTGAATGAAATGAAGAAATATGGACTGCCAGTCACTCCAAAGGAGTTTGCGATTGTAAATTATGCAATACCTTCCACACTGTTGAGTTTATAGCGAGGGGGTGGTGGGGTTAATCCGCAATTTAAATCAGACCTAATGGTGGGAACATTGTCTTGAACACACAAAATATTTACCAATCGTCACCTTAGGTAGGAAACTATGTCAAGAAACCACAATTCCTATAGGCCAAACCATTTTTGAATTCCACATTTGGTTATATTGAATGGTAGTCAGTTTGGACTTTTAATATGGCTGCGCAATTGATCACAATTTCTTTAACATTATTGCAATATAAGCCGTGGCAATAAACACATTGCAAAATTCTGAATTTATCACAATAAATAAAAGCTTTTAATGTACAGTAGTCAAGCAATGCTTTTTCACTTGGTGTCTGTACATTGCACCAATATCAGGTGGAGGCTTGGGTATAACGGTCATGCCTTCACACCATATTGATGCAGTCACATGAAGCTAAAGCCAGCTATAACCAACCTTGGATTAATGAGTGCAGATGTAGTGGAGGGAAAAGTTTTGTTAATATGTTTTGGAATCAGGAGGGACATGTTGCAAACAGGTATTGTGTAACGCATGAAGAACAGCAGATAGACATAGCAACATATAACTACAGAGTGTTAGCTTATATGCACATTTTTTGTTTATTTATCGCAATTTATATCCTTATCGCAATATTGAACAATTCTAATTGCATATTTTTCTCATTTCATGCTGGCCTAATTTTATATCAGATATATTGTGTCACCAACACAATTATGAAAAAGCTTTTACAAGTAAATATTTATTTTGTCCAGTAAATCTGATTGTTGCAAGATTCAGATAAAAGTTGTTTTTCCGAAATAACAATCTTGAAGTCGTTTTTTTAAAAATGTTTTATTATTGTATGAGTGTTTGCATGTCGGTATATTTTGGTCAGATGTAGAGCACTTCTTCAGAGCACGGACTGGTTTTACTGTTAAATTGGAGAAAATGTATTTTTTTCTATGATAAAAGTGGAAGGGACTGTTCAAATTATTCATCTTAAATGTATTAATCTATTATGGGAAACAGTACGCTCAGACATTTAAATGGAATAAATTACAAGAATTCAAAATAGAAATAGAGCACCATATTCAATCACTACATGTACGTAGAGTAAGGAGAGCAGAGAAAACATTGGACATTAGTAAAAGCCTGTTACTTTAATTCTGCTTTTTGATACAATATATATGTATATTGTTGTACATGGTTGTTTATAGTTTGTTTCCTTTCGTTTGTGTTTTGCTTCTCTTTCTTTGTCTTTTTGTGGTATTTGGTTATCTTTGTCTCAATAAAAAATAAAATAAACTCAGTGACATGTGAGCCATGAGAGGCTAAATAAACAGCACAAGTACAATTTAACTCCCACCAGCCTGCAGGGTTGCTAACATAAACCACACTGTGCCACAGATTGACTCAGTGTTTTTGAGTTAAGAGGTTGTGAAAAACAAAAACAACCTGTTGAGCATGAAATCAAGCAGAAAAATTCTTAAGTTGCATAATATCCATCTTAAGCACTGAGGTGCAGTGTTTGTATTTTTTTTTTCTTTTGCCTTATCAACAAGTGGAGTTTATTTTCTGTTTATTTTTGGTTTAATTTTAGCATCACTTTAGTGTCAGAGGGAGATCACAGCAGCAGCCAGTCACCACACCCAGCATTCCCTCAAACACACCACAAACAGGAGGAGGAAGTAGATGATATGAAGGGGAAGACAAAGGAAGAGACAGAGGGAGGGAGGAAGGGAGGAAGGGAGGAAGGGAGGGAGGGAGGGAAGAAAGAAAAAAAATATAGAGGAAATGAAGACAGAGAGATAGAGGTATCCAAGGCAACAGGCTTCTCCTCCAGCCAAAAGTCAATGCTACAAGACGGCAACTGGGCAGCTGAACTATCTCTGTGGTAATAAACACACACAAGCACACACACACACACACTGCTCGGTTTATCAAGCTAATTTTAACCACAACTAAAAGAAACATAAAAGGTTAGTGCCAGCATAAAAGTGAATCACAAAGTCATCACTAAGAAAAATGTTTGGGACCTCATCTTATTTGAATTATACTTCTTTTTAAAGATGTTAAAACTGATACATTCATTGCGTTTTTTCTACACATTATATTTGACATCACTTTCATTATAAAAACAATGTCATATTGCTGAGAACGTTTTTTTCTTTGTATTTGTGGCTACTTTCATGGGTCAGTTGAAAAATGTTAACAGGTGGTTAACGTATATATATACAGGGCCAGGGTTAGGGTCGTATTTAAGACCACTTCCTACAATTTTAAATTAATTTGTGAACGTGTTGATGACAAGTTGCCTGTTAATCATCCAGCAAACAAAGCAACATTATAGCTCTTTGATTTTTGTAAAAGGCCAGCCAACAATTGTAGATTAAATTTTCACTCTTATTGGAGCTGTGGTTTTGGACCACACCATTCCTTAAAAGACAATAATTTAGTTCTTCAGTTTTGAGGAAATTGGTTTGGACCTGTAGCTGGTTTATGCTCCGTTATGTTCGTCACTAGCAAGTTGCAAACTGGTGCTAGTTTGTGTAGTTTCCTGTGGGTGTTTTTTAGTTTAAAACATTGTAAAAAAAAAAACGAGCTGAAAGGTAGCAAAACAGTCTCTTTTTTCAAATGCTGAATAAAAGCCTTCAAACAACAAATGATTTATGCCTCATATGGCTGGTTCTCTCTGACATCATAAGATATTAGAATATTACGAGTTAAAGTAGCTGTTGATGTTACCTTTAGTTGCTCACTCAACAAGTACTTCAAACCCTTTGCTGCAGTGCAGTGTGATGTTAATTGTGGATCATCTACCAGCTTTGGCAGTGAGGCCTCTCGTGAGCAATCCTGTGAGTCACAGTGATGCTGGCGCTCTGTCTCCATTCCTCAAACATGTGTGTAAAAATAGACATGGAGACAGAGTGTGATGCCCTATGCATCTGTGAATACACTCAAGCCCT